CCTCTACAGCAGTGGTCCTCAACTTTAGGCCTCCAGATGTTCTTGGACTACAACTCCCAGAAGCCTGTTGGCCAGGATTTCTGGGAGTTGAAGTCCAAGAACATCTGGAGGCCCAAATTTGGGGACCACTGCTCTACAGACGTCAAGCTTCAGTCCCGAAACCAGAAGAGACTTTGAAAAGGGTCAGGTGGCAGGGTTTCATCAGCATACGGATGGCACTTCTTGCCATTTTTTCATCAGGGACCAGCTGTCATACTTTTGAGCATATCATGAGAAGGTAAAACTGGGCGGGAAAAAAGGACAACACTGCTAAGAAAAGTTGAAGGCAACAGGAAAAGAGGAAAACCAATTACTGGATTGACTGTCTTCCTAAAGGAAACCATAGGCTTGAGTTGGCAAAAGCTGAGAAGGGCTTTTGAGGACAGGACCTTTTGTGAAGTCAACTGATTCACAGGATCAGAGTCAGAAGAGACTTGATGTCACACAACTAGAGACCAGCCGAATTACGTAAGGACTACCTCAACAAGACGTAAATAGAAAAGATAAGCCAGCCTGTGATTTCTGTTCCTTCCTGGGCTTGTTCCTCCCTGCTTCTCCTCAAAGAGAGACTCCTCTTTTCCACAGATATCCTTGACAGTTCTTGACGGCTAAAGGGCAGGTGAAAGGTTAGTCGAAGGCCAGAAGCAGGATGACCTCTTTTTGCAGCAGAATAGAAAGGTCAATGTTTGGGGTGTACCCGAAACCATGGGTGTCATTCAGCCAGATTTCCAGGCTGACCGTGGATTTAACTTTCCCAGGTCAGCATACTTCAGAATTTAGCTTCCCTTATTAAAAAGATGGGGATTAAGACAACACAAGCAATTTCATGCAGTGTATCCTCAAGCTATGATGTTCTCCCTCTATTACGCTGCATCATGGGTTTCGTGGTTTCTAGCCAAGTAAGGATACAAAGAATATTTTTAAAATTCCTTTTTGAGATTTTCTACATCTCACCATGTCAATGCTCCTCACTGGGTTTTTCCCCCAGCACCAGCAAGATTTCTCAACTTCCCACAAAAAAAGGACCCAGTCTTATTTTTTTTTCCCCCATCCCATTTTTCAGCAATTCTTCTGTGCCCTAAGCTCCCAAGTTCCGCACAGTTTATCGTCCTTTCTAGGGAATCTCCCACCAAGAAAGATGCTAGATTGCACAGGAACTGTTATAATTTTGCAGTTTTTCCTTCTGCCTTTGAAACACCCTCTCTTGAGACCTCTGTCCGGCACCATCGTTACTAAACTATTCAGGCTTCTTGTCCGGTAGACATTCATTGTTCATTTTTACTGCTGAGGTTTTCAGGGATCGGCCATCATCATCAGGCCATCTTGAATTTTCTCACTGTGGTTCCGAGCGGCTGATCTTATCTGCTTTTGCTGCAACATTTACAATGTATGTTGTGTGAGGGAACGTCGCCCATCCTTCATATACATGCAAATCACACCAAGTACTATATTGTATAAACATTTAAATTTATTTATTCATTCATTTTATTGGCTTTCTATCTTGCCCATCTAGACCAAAAGTCTACTCTTGGCGGCATTACAAATTTAAAAATGGTTAAACCAATAAACATGCACTATAAATCCAAGATGGTAAAATATGAATTTAAGATACAGGAGGGAAAGCCTGCCCGAATAGCCAGGTATTGATTTTGCTTCTGAAGACATCCAGAGAGGGAGCCAGGCGGATCTCCATGGGCAAGTTGTTCCAGAGGCGAGGGGCCACTGCCAAGAAGGCCCGGTTCCTTGTTCCTTCCTTCCAGACCTCCCTCGGCATCAGGGCCCTCCGCTAAACTGCCAGAAGCCTTCATCATGAGCTGTGCTGGCCAGAATTTCTCGGAGTTCTAGTCCAAGACCATTTGGCGGCTGAGCTCTGCTCTAAGGCTGTGGTTCCCAACCTTTTTCGAATGGCAGACCAGTTCAGCAGGGGTGTCGTCCATGTGTACATGGGCAGGGGCATGCGTGCATTCGTGGGTGGGACTTCTGTGCATCCGTGCGTGGGTAGTTGTGCATGCATGTGGGGGGGAGGCGGGAGATGTGTTTATGCATGGGGCGTGTGTGTCTTGTGTGTCCATGGGTAGGTTGTGTGTCAGTGTATGGGGGGGCGTACATGTGTGTGGGAGGCAGGAAATGTCTCTGTGGCCCAGTTCTGCCAAGGTCATGGCCTGGTCTCAGGCTGTGGACTAGGGGTTGGGGACCCCTGCTCTAAGGGATGGAAAGGACAGTCAGACTCTGCTCTTGACCCAAACAAGTCTTTTTCCCCACTTGAAAACCGGGTTTGGCATTAAGAAAGAAGTTGATGGGACACTAAAGATACATCTTGGCTACAGACGGATCCTTTCCATCTTTCTTGATTGCTTTGAGGTGAGCAGAGATGGGAAACTTCTCAGTTCAGAAGCTTGGGCCAGTTTGTACCCATTGTCCAAATTCCCACCCCCTGCCTCCCCAGCCGGACCCCCCTCTTGCCTGTTAAGAGCATGCTCCTCTCCTCCTCTCTTCAACCAGTCTCTGGCAGAAGCACAGGTGTCCTTAGCAGATTGCCCACTTCAACAAGAAGGTAGGACAGACCAATCCGTGCTTGTGCTGGAGACCAGTTGAACAGCTGAAGAGGAGTGTGCGCTTCGAGTGGGCCACTGGCCAGGAAGGCAACACACAGCACCCGTGACACCGTGCATACAAACTTCCAAACCAAGGGTTGTGCCCATCTCTACACATGAGCAAAAGCTATCATCTTGGAACTGCAGAGCCAGAAGAACCCTATGGATCATCGGGCCCAGCCCTTGGTCAGGGAGGCACCGTGGGGGGAATCGAACTCCCAGACTCTTGGTGCACAGTATCAGAGCGCAGACCAATCGGAAGCCTGCTCCTGCACAAGCAGAAAGATGGAAGCAGCAGTTGGTGGGAGAAGAATAAACATGGCCAACTCTAGCAGGAGAGGGCAATAGAAATCACAACACCTATAAAACCATGAGGTTTGGCCCACTGAATTGGCATCTGCTACGGGAATCGCTAGCTAAGCTTATCTGGACAAGAGACAGAAATATTGTGGCAAAATAAAGAGGAACTAAAAATTGCTACAGTCCTAAATGTTGTGGGGTCACGTATCACAACAACAGTTGTAGTTTCATTTTTAAATGTTTGGGAAAGTGGAGTTTATCCACAAGAGCTCATATTACATATACTAGTGAGTCCTCAAGCTGCTACATTTCCTCCCTCTTGTTTTCCATTTTTGTTCCAATATGTTTACACAGACTAACAAGGATACTTCTCAAGTTTCACAGCCTCTTTCTACAACTTGCACTTCCAGCCAAGTTGACAAGACTAAACCAGAAGCGAGCTATCTCGGGTTTATGAACAACCACTCGACTAGAGAGAGTAAAAGAAAATGCAGCAGGCCCTCAACACCTGAAACTTCTGCAGCAATGGAATAGAAAGGAAGTTTCATTTCTCCCCGCTTCTCCCCTCTCTTTCTAGGCACTCAATACACCACCGCTGGACAAAGGACATCTCACTCTTAAGGGTGAAATTTAATGTGGAATAAAATGTTGTGCAGGTGAACAGGCCACGAACGACACAGGCACCAATGCAGCCGGACGACCAAAGTGCAATAATTTATTGATGTGAACATCCTGCTAAGTGTCAGTTTGGTAGCAAGGAGACATGCCCAACTCCATCAACAGAGCAGAAAAACAAAGGAAGGTGGGGAAGGCAGAGAGAGAGAGAAGAGAACCAAAGAAGCCTCATTTGGGCAAACTTAAAGAGGTATAAAGGAGGCAATTCAAGTGAAGCAGGATCAGACAGAAGCCCAAGACAGCCTGCAAGTCTTCCCCACCCTCTACAACCGTGCAGGGGGTTGAGGAGCAGGCTCTTAATCCACCTCCTCAATGGTGGGGCCTGAAGAGCCGCTCCCAGCTCCTCCTGCTCCTGGGAAGCCCCCAGGCATCCCCCCCGGCATGCCTCCAGCCCCTTGGTATAGCTTCGTGATGATGGGGTTGCAAACGTTCTGCAGCTCCTTCTGCTGGTGCTCGTACTCATCCTTTTCTGCCATCTGCCAAGAAAGTGAAGAGAAAAAAAAGAGAAATGAGTTGATGGTCCACCGCTAAACGGGTAGCCAACAGAACCCTACAAGGTTGTTTTGGTTACACCCAAGAGGTAGGACTATATGTGTGAAGATTGTCGGTCATCCAGGTGAGGGCATCTGGCAGATGAATCATGGCCACTGGACTTCTTTTTTGTTAGGTTGAAAGGTTTCACTACTCACCCAAGTACAGTGGTGCCTCGCAAGACGGGCGCTCCGTTTAACGACAAATCCATAATACAATGAGGTTTTTGTGATCGCAAAACGACATTTTGAATGGGGGAATTTCGCTGCACGATGATCGGTTCCCTGTTTTGGGAAC